CCTGTCTCAAAAAAAAGGTGTATGTCTCAATATTTGTGTCTTACTATATATATATATATTTTTATATATATACATATTTTTATATATTTTACACATAGAGAATTTAAATTTAAATGTGAAAACAAAAACGAAGTGATATTGTTTTAATAATTCGATTGGCTTTAAATCTTTAAAAAAATTTCGCAATGCCCGAGCAGGTGATTTTTATTTACTGCGTAAATTTACTTTAAAATAAATTTTGATCTTTATCATCATATGTATTAACTCACATAGTGTTTTAACTCATGTAATGTTCATTTATTGTATTTACTCATCATATGTGCTCTAATGAGAACGGTTAACTTGGTTGTAAGTGAATGTTGGTTGAAATTTTGTTGTAATGAATAGCTACATTTATTTAGACACTTTCATCACAACACATTCAAAAAAGATGTTTGGGCTCGAAAAACCTTCATCCGGTCATGTATTGTTTAGACTAACATGCTTGAAATGGCATGTGAAAAGCTTAAAATTTTTGAGTTCTAGTTTGTATCTAGCTTGTATCATGAGCAAAATAAATTCCAGGCGTTGTTATTTTTTGAACTAAGCAATTTTGAAAATATCAATTTTATTCACCATGAAATCTTTTATTCTTATTCTTTTCTAATAAAATAATTATTTTTAGAAAATAGTAAAAAAAAAAGTTGGAATAGTAAGGTAGGTAGGTACTTTATTTACGTCGCACAAGAGCTGCACAATGGGCTATAGAGGACGGTCGGGGAAACATCCCTGAGAATGATCCGAAGATATGCCATAGCATCTTTGACTAAATATAGTAAATTTGGGAAAAAATTTTACAAATACTGGACTGGAGAAAAGTGGGAAAAAAGGTTAGGAAGTATAGTTATTTTGAAAAAATATTACACAAATATTAGAGTGAAAATACAGAGGGAAAAATGTTAGAAAATATAGTTAATTTGAGAAAATATTGAACAAATATTGAAATTGAAAGAAATGTAAACCATCATTTGGCCGTACTCTATCAAATACAGTATACTCTCGATGACTCAAAGTTAGGGACGTTAAAAAATTTCGAGAAAGCGAGTTCTCGAACTTAAGTTCTAAAAAGTAAAAAAAAAAATCTAAAATATTGCTCTTAAAAGTAAGAATCCTGAAACATAAGACTATTAAACCTTATATGTAATGATAGTTGACGATAAGTCTAAACAAAACAATGATACTTTTATTTTTAAAAGTAAGACGAGAACAATTACGCATTAAATAGAAAAGAATTGGTTAACAATGAATTTACGCTGTGATTTTTCCGGAAAAGTTCATTTTCTATTTCGAAAAAAAAATTGACATAGCAAGATTTTGAGAAGAAACCCTTCAACATAGGAATTCAAAATAACAGGAAGATAAATAATGAAAGAGGGAAATTTTTTTTTGTTGACGTAACAAGGTTTTCGAGATATCGAGAGTGTACTGTACTGACTAAAATTTTAATCGTTGAGTCTTTGATATGCTTACGTATTTCAGGGCTAAAACCATACCGGTCTTCGCACCCATGCCATGACCCAAAATGATGGCTTTCGGCATCATCATGCTGTCCATAAAGTGAACTACGTCATCAGTCATGGAGTCGTAATCCATCGTATCAACCCATTTACTGTCCCCATGGTTTCTGGCGTCTAAGGAATAAACCTAAATAAAAAAGAAAACATGAACATTTATTGCAAACCCGTTCTTTGTGCTGGATGAATAAAAAAATATCATTAAATTAGTACTAAACAATACTACGGAATCTTGCATAAAACTGAAAGGTATAATATGTATGCATAGATTTCTAATTGCGTTTCAAAGCGCAAAAATTAAGAAATTGATGATCATATACAGCATATATACATGGTCCTATATCTGCCTTTAATATTAACCTATAATATTTAAACTTGGTCAGATATTACATTACAACATATTATAGTATTATACTAAAGGACATTATTATAGACAAATTAAAAGCCTAAAACGTGCACATTATTTAAGTATGCATGTTTATATTTAAAAAGTGCGTTAAATAGCGTTATATGAAGAAATTGTTGCTTATCTACTGCATAGAAATATGGGCCTATATCTTCCCTTTATATTATCCTATAATATTCAAACTCTGTCGGGTATTAGATTATAATATACTATTTATCATATTAAAGGAAATAATTATGCACAAATTAGCGAGACCCGCAATGTGGCATGATACAGTAATAATAACGACACCATTTAGAACGCTGAAATAATTTTGATTATTTCTTTACTTATTATTATTTGTTGGCTGCTCCGGTGGCTTTACGTTATAAAATTAAGCAAAACAATTTTTTGTAGTTCATCCCATCGGAATAGAGATTATTTGTGTTCAGCATCACTCCGCACGATGCTACTGTTCACGGCCAACTCAATGACAGTCGAAATTTTCTACTATCAGAATTTCATCAAGTTCGGATTACTTTAGAAATAGTAATTGAATGGCGCAGTCTTCTCATGCTTCCACATTAACATCTGACATAGTGAAAAAAAATGAACGAATTATTAAAGTATGTGTAATAAACTATCTTTTTGATCAAAAAGAGCTATGAGCTAGCAAATGTAGTTGAAGATACAATCGTCAAGAGTTAAATTTAAAACAATGGTTAACCAATAAGATAATTTCATTTATTTTTCTCTCAGACCACTCAAACGGTTCATAGTAGTTCATAGTTTCTTTCCCTTGCATTGAACAATCAGTGTGCCTAATTTCCTCACTCTCGGTTGGTTGACTTAGTAGTTTATAAAGGACACACAGACAAACATTCATTTATTTATCTATTGTTGTAAAATAGAACTATAATGTGATAATTATAAAAACAATTGTCATGGTCATTTCTACTGGGTTTAAGGATAGCTAAATTATTTTTATAATATTGGATTGACTTAAAAGTCTTTGTGCGTTTTTTTTCAAAGTCATATACTTATTTAAAGGTTAATCAATGATATGTGTTCGATGACCTTTCGACATTGTTCGGTGAATTCCTCGTTTGTAAAAGAACCTGACTTTATTTGCAAAAAATTGAACAAGGTGCTGATTTGCATCCTCATTTGAATTTAACATTATTCCACACAAGGAGTTTTGAAAAGAGGGAAACTACTGGGAATGTCACGACGCAAGGTGAAGTGAGTTTGGTGGGTGGGGTAACAAATCCCATCCAAGTTTTAATGACTTTTGACCGGTCACCAATGATGTATGTGGTTTTGCGTTGTCGTGCTGGAACACTACTCCTTTACGATTGACGAGCTCTAGACGTTTCTGGGGCCCTATTACCCTACTCACCGAAATTTATTCCGCTCGGAAACTAGCTTTCATCGGATTACCAATTTCGTAAAACCCACTTTTCCGTAACATGAGCATATCGGAATCCGGAATCGTTACCGCCATTCCGTACGATTCCGGCGAAATTAAAGTTTGCAGGCGGGACTAACTTTGACCAATTAGAAAATTTCTATAATTCTAATTTATTAATCTGGCAGCGATATGTTTGTTTTCTCTTCTTCTATGCGAGCTAAAATATCATTAACTTAGGACTGAAGGCTTAAAAATTCAGCTGAGCAGATGAATGAGGCTGATCGGAAGAGAAGAATGGTATTGAACTGAGAAAAGCCATAGCTTTCGAGAACAAAGTGTTGTCAAATAAAAATAATTTTTGTTAGTTATATATTTGTTTCATTAGTGCTTATTTTAAAATTAAATTACATAGTAGTTTGATAATTTTTAGCGTAAAATATATCTTTGCCACGTGATTACCAGTGTCTTTAATATTTTATGAATAATGGGCGCAGTTTGCTTTTGGTAGCATTGGAATCTCGAGTAAAATAAAGTATTTTTTTAAGACTGTTAGTAGGGCATTTTTCAAATACATCACATTTAATAGATAGGCTTTTTAATATATCACAACAGTTTATAACATAATTCCGAAAGTTATTTTGTTCCATTTGTTCGTTAACAGCTCTAAAATGATTAACTAATAAATAATTAATTACTAACTAATAACTAATAAATAATTAACTAATAACTAATAAATAATTAATTAATAAAATAATAATTCTTAAAATTTAAAAGGAATAATATGAATTTATATTAAATAAGAGATAAATGAGTTTTTAAAATTCAATAATCTTTAATAGTATTGGGAACCTTCAACATTTAGATGTCTTTTAATTATATGGCTTATTAAATGCAAATAAAAAAACTCGGTATAAAGTATTTTAATGTAACCATAATTCTCCAAATTTTCTTGTACAGTTTTAAAAGGCTCAAAGGGAGAAATGCTGCCACTTCGATTGGCTCAGTATTTTTGTGCTCTGCGTCTGTAATTTACTAAACTTTTGTATATTTTTCTTGGTTTTTTAGTAACAATTTATTCTGCAGTTGTTGTATTTGTTGCTAACTTGAAGCATTATCACATAGTTGATATACTTGTTTTTTTTTCGATCGCTTATAACGAAGTTATTTAAACATTGCTAATTTGTTCACAGTTAAGTAAACAAATTAATAAATAAGCAAATCTGAAACTAATTTATAAATGTTTATTCAAAAAAGCGAAAGTTTTTTATTCCATCATGGTAACAATTCTGCCACGAATTCTTGCAGCGTTTCTGCCCTCACATGCTGGCAAGCCAGTATTAAATGACATGTCATCTTCTGAAAGGGTATCATATGTAATAACATACCCATCCTTCATACACATTTTGTGCAGTACAGCACAGGCATTCACAATCATGCCAGCAATTGTTGGTGTATAGTGTAACACTCTTTCTTTTAAGAGGCATCTAAATCTTCCTTTTAATGCACTATTGCATCTTTCAATGACGTTCCTCCCGAGTCTGCTTGCAATTATAATTTTCCTCCACCAATTTTGATGTTCCTGCGATAGGGGTTATGAGCCATGGCTCTAGTGGATAGCCAGAATCACCTAAATAAATAAATTAGTACAAAGCTTAAAGTGGTACAAAGTTCTACCCATAACATTAAATGTACTAACTAAATCAGGAATAGTTTAACGCATTATTTTAAAAGGAACTTTCAAACTTTAATAATATTTGAAAAGTTTAATGAAAAAAAAATATGAACACAACTTTCTAACAATGTTAGGAAAAAAATTATTTGAATGTAATAAAAAATATGAACTGAATTTCTAATATATCTAAAAATTATTATCATAATCAATTCTTAAAGTTATAAATGCATTAAATGTGTAAATTTTATCAGAATATTAATATCCACTTCTGAATACAATTAGAATAAAATTCCAGAAGGAAAATCAAGGTGGTCTATAATTATTTTCATTGCAAGCAATTTTGGGAAAGAGAAAATATATAAGGAATTAAACTAAAATATAACACATCAAAATTTTGGAAAGATTTCCGTTTTGCGATTTACGGCAAGGCAAACATTTAGATACCTATATATTTTTAAGTTTGCAAGTATCAATTCCATTTGGAGCATTGGCGATTTTTTTCCTATCTGCTTACATTGTAAAAATTCGCCAATGCTTACCTAGTGCTGTAAGCATATATAATCATGCGAATCTTATCCCCATGTTTTATGACTGTGCTTTATCCCCATGCTTTAGATTTTAGTAAAAAAGCTTTAGATGTTTTAAATTATCGAACAATAACTAAACAAAAAAAGCTAAGTAAAATAATAATAAATCACTGCAAAATCCCATGTTTCCAACTTTTATAAACATAAGTCTTAAGTTGAATAAAAACTAGTTATAACTGATAATTAAGAAATTCTAGAGACATATTTTATTGTATAAAAGAACAAAATAAAATTACGTACTTACTTTAGTTTCTACAGAGAAGGCATTTCTGCTGGAAGTCCAACGCTGGCCGAAGTTTTTCTATGAGTTCGACACAAATGTTTTCAGTCACTCTAAATTGACTTCCAAATTCTTTGTCGGGATATTGAAACATCTTAAATCTTTGGGGCCGATAGATCTTTCTCTTAATAGTGCTTCGATCACTCCCTTCAGCAATAGCTAGTTGTTTGACGGAAAACAGCACCATTTTGATCACTAAAATAAGCAAACTCCTATCGGAATTTAGATTTCGCTTGCTCTAAACCTGCCGGAATCGGATTCGTAATTATTTCGCATCGAAATTTAGTTCCGAGCGGAATCAAGAGCTCGTTATACTGCCTAACTGACATTTACGGATTTATGACGTCACGAGAGCTTCATTTCGATCGGAATCAGATTCCGTGAAGCTGTTGATAGGGCCCCTGGATGACAAATTGTCTAATTGCCAGCAGTACAGATGTGAATTGATTGTTTCGTTCCTTTGTTGGAGTTCAAAAAACACCATATCTTTCCAATCCCACATCACTGAGAGCCTCCTCTGATGAAATTCTAGATTTGAAGTCCCTGATAGCGAATCTTCACCTCAGGTCTAAAACCGTTTGCGCAGCACATTGTTGTCCTCTCCTCACCCCTCAGTTAAAAAAATGGTCATTTTCTTCACGTTTCATGCAGCGGTTGAAGAAAACCTTACACCAATTCGTATTTGATTGTTAGCAATATACTAACGATGTCCTAAGTGGGTCAACATCCCAAGCAGCACAGAAAAAGGAGACCCATGTTGGCCCATATGCTACTCTTTTGGATTTATCGGGTTCCTATGGACACCGTCTCTGGCCCATATCCAACGAATACAATCAAACTGATAGAATTCTGCCCTCAACGTAAAATTATTATTGTTTCTTTACTAAATAAACGAATATGAAGTATTCCACTCAGAATAAAATTCAAATCCTTATTAAAAACTAATTATAGTTATTTTCTGAATGCATGGAAAATCCACATAATCTAACTGGAAAATTTATGCAGATCTACCTGGGGGTTGCCCATCAACGTCTGTCTGTTGGATTTCCATATGGGTAGCTGATATCGAGCTTCATGGAGTGCCCATTTCATCCCATATGGATATTTCCTTTATCGGCGGTCTATGTCTAGATTTATATGGGTTGCCCATTTCAACCTAGGGATACTTTATACGGATGTTTTTATATCGGAAGTCCATATAGATTTATATGAGCTCCCCATTTATCCCTATCTTGAGGTAATTCACATGAAAAGTCCATATAGATTTAGATGAGCTCCCCATTTATCCCTATCTTGAGGTAATTCACATGAAAAGTCCATATAGATTTTTATATGTTTCCTATCCGAGACCAAACAGATATTTTTTTATCGGCAGCCCGTATGGATTTACATGGGAAGCCTTTATAGACTCATTTGGGTCACCCATTTGATCCCATCATGGGGTTATTTATTTGGGAAGCCCATATATATTTTTATGGGCAGCCCATTTCAACCCATGGTATATTTTTTATGTCGGAAGTCCATATAGATTTATATGAGTAGCCTACTTATCCCTTTCTGTAGATAATTCACATAAAATGGCTATATAAATTTTTATGCGTTGCTTATTTGAGTTCAAATAGATAGCCCGTTTGGATTTATATGGGTTGTCCATTTGAGGCCATTTAGAGATTATTTATATGGGAAGCCTATATAGATTCATATGGGTGGCCCATTTACGTCCATTACAGACTTTTGATGTTGAAAGCGCATTTAAAGATAGATGGGTTGTTCATTTCAGCATTTTCATTTGATGTTTTTGTCAGGGAAAATAATTCACGTATAGCGTAAATGCGCATGAGCTTGGTGCTGTATTTACACATTTTTTTTGGATTTTTCAACGCCGAATTTAGAGAGATATTAATTACATCACAGTTTTTACAATGCATGCTAGGTATTCACTTATCGGATCAAAATTGCTTGAAGTAGTTTTACTTACTTTGGTATTTGTTCGAATGGAAATGATTTGACCACATTCGTCCCATGTTTCTTTCCCTCTCATAAGTCCATGGAGTAAAATAATGGGTATGTTTTCCGAATCTAATGATTTTTGGATTGGAGTGAATTCTTTATAAGCGATGGTACCATCGGAACTCTGAAAAATAGAAAGATTAGTTAAGCAAGAAAATCCAATGATTTTACAGATCCTATAATTTCAAAAACATCTATTAATATAAGCAGATGTTAAAGAGGCCTTCTTCTTACACTCGGCGGATGGTCTTAAGTGTTAGAGAGAAATGTGAGCTGGATTAATTAAATGATATTTACCCCGAGGAATTAATCTTGCTTCGTAATCATGATGATAATATTAGTTTCAATATTTCAGATTTGGGTATTATAAAGGTTGAAAATATCTGCTTTGTTGATTTATACGATGAAAGAAATGATTTTAATTTTAATATTAATAAACTAATTACTTGGAGTTCTAATGTTTCTACGAGCATCTATTTAAATACCACTTTTAATGAAATGAATAGAATTAAAAGAATATGTAGTAATATTTATTTATCCAAAAAAACAAATCGATGAACTCTTCCAAAATTTGATAAAAAAACAATGGATACCCAACTAAAGTAATAAAATTCTATATAAAATCATTGAGTCAATCGTATATTATTGTAGATATATTTACTAAAAATTTTCTTTGTTAATTTATATGCTTTTTCCATGTGCAAATCCATTTCGGGCAAATCCGTGGCTAAAATTATTTACTAAACATTTCTTAGTTAATTTACATAATTTTTCCATGTGCAAATCCATTTCTGGCAAATCCGTGGCTAAAATTATTTACTTAAAAATTTCTTTGTTAATTTATATAATTTTTCTATGTGCAAATCCACTTCGGGCAAATCTGTGGCTAAAATTATGTGCAAAACAGGCAATTCGTGTTTCTTTCTCTTTTGTATTTTTTTCTTAAATAAATATTAATTTTCCAAAATTATTAACTGTCAACTTCTTTAAATTATCCAGTATAATATTACCTTGCGCACATACATTTTCGGGCCCATCCTTGGTAATTAACAAATCAAACTCACTTCAGTAATGCATTAAGAACGCACTTTAATACAAAACTTCTCTAGTAACGCTTCTAGTTTAATTTGCGCTTTTGTTTTCATTTTTTGCAATCTGGCAATCTTGTTACGAAAATATTTTAAATCATTCTTGAAAAATTTCCTGTTCATGTAAGTTCATTTGAATTCGCTACTCGCTTTATAGATTACATTTCATGTTATATTCTGTTTTTCTTTATATTTTTCGTCCCGCAGTGGACTGATCGTTAAGACACGGTTCCCAGCAGATCACCGAAGTCAAGCATCACTGACTACGGTCAGTGTGCGGGTGGGTGACCACTTGGATCAGTCTGCGTAGGGACCGAGGGTGTGCGGTATTGGTCCTCGTTAAACTGTGCTACCGTAAAGTGCTCGACTTCGCGCGCAGGTCGTCGGGCTACCGAAGCGGGGGTGCCATCCCCTCCGCAGAGGATCAAAATTGTGATGGCATGTCTTCGGATCATCCTCCGGGATGTTTCCCAGACCGTCGCCAATAGCCCATTGTGCAGCTCTAGTGCGACGTAAATTAACAATAACAACAATATTTTATTTTCTGTTTTTAAGTGATATTTATACTTATTATGTTCTATTTTACTTGTTGTAATTTTTTTGTAAATTTTTTGAGTGCTCCTCACACTATTGTATTGATATATTTTGCTTTGGCAATATTGATACAATATTAGAAAGCACTCTTTTTTGCGGTTATAATTGTGTGAGCTGATGAATTTATTTTCCGGATTTTTTAAAATTTTTTGTCTTTTTTTCGGAATTTTTTTTTCCTCCCAGTTTCTTGTTTATTTATTTTATTATTATTTTTCTTTTTCTGCCCCTTGCTTTCTCTCTATATATATTCTAATATATATGTTCTAATACAGAATAAATAATAGCTTAAACCTTAAATTTAAAATATTTTTATTTTTTCAAAGTAAGCAGTTTTGCAAGGTAAGCGAAAACTTCTATATACAACCTACACACTTTACACAGCAATTCGAGGACTTTTAGTTGAAAATGTTGTAGAGCGTACATTTTTATCGAGTTAGACTTTTCGAAATCATTTGAATTTTAAAAACATCTAGTTCTGAGATGTATATACTTTGTGTTTTACAATTTATAAAAATTTCATTGCGAACGATAGATATGTTTCACGTTTAGATACGGAATCATCTCATATCTATTATATCTTTAAATTCAAAATTTTTCCTTTCAGCTCTCATATAATGTATATTTTTTTTTTAACATTTTTTAAAAATGTATTTATGCTAGGGTCCTGTCTCCGGTTACGGCTTTAAGCTCACCCAACTTGTAATGGATGGAAACCATCTTCTCTGGGAAGAAAAGGTGGCAGGTGCGCAATGCAGATCATATTGCCACCATTATGCCACTGGTCGCAAAATTGCAGTGTCTTAAAGTCTCTGACCCCTCCGGCTTACAACTTGCGGATTTTTTGAAATAATTACTAGTTTCTGACTTCAATTTGCTTATGCTTAGCAATTCTTTTAAGCATTTCTAAGATAAGAAAAAATTAATTTTAATAAGTAGAACAGCCTGTTTAATTTTTTACGCTAATGAAGAAAAAATAGAGTTTAATTTATCAAAATTAATCCTTTAAATGTTCTATCAATTAAAAAGACATTTCTGATAAATGAGCAGATGTATTCAGGCATGTATATGCATTCAAAAAATAAAATTCACGTAAATCAATAATCAAGATGGTGCTTGATACTTGTAGAACACTTCATGTATGTCTAATAACTGGAACCACAGACAAAAGTTACTAAAACACTCATGCAGCTAAGAGCTTCTGTTGTTTACACGTCTGCAATTGCGCACTTCTGCTATACTCATCATCAACAGTGGAATTCTGCTGTACACACACCGACAACTGAGGACCTCTCCGATGCACACAGTCAATCGAGTACCACTTCTGTCATACACACAGGTAACTGAGGACTTAAATGATGGATTTTAAAAATAAAGGAACAAATTTAATCTTATCCAATCACAACATTTTTCTAACTGATTTAATGCTGTATGGGCGACAAAAGCTTTTAAATTACCCAAAAAAAATTTATTTTTAAATTTCTTATTCCTATCTTTTCCAAACTGAGTTATACTTAAAACTAGCGCATATTTTTTAAATGGATGGATAAATAAATAATAGTCTCATTGCCGTCGGGTTAGCCATGAGAGGTGTTGTCTCATGCTTCATAATTACCTCAGTACTAATTTCACTTAGAAATTCTGTGGTAAAAATCCCTTTCAAAGTTTAAAGAGCAATTTCAAAAATTAAAAAAATGCAAACAAATGATTAATGAATGAGTCAGCAGCAATTAAGCAATCAAATATAAATCAAATGATATTTTCTCACATGTTTTCTACTTTTTCGAGATATACTTAATAAATTCTGTTATAAATTCAGTTTAACAAATAGTACACTTACGCTAATTAGGTATTAAAAGGAACACACGTGATAAAGTTTCAGATAATCTTATGAACAGCTAATAATATTAACTATATTGAGAGTATTTTTTTTGTTATTTTCGTTAAGACTGTACTTATTTAGTGTAAGAACAATTTTGTGTCTAATTAAGAAATTAAATACTAATCAACCTTATTTAATTAATATTCATACCCCAAAAAATTCGAACCGTAACTAATGTACCTTATAGCGAAGGTAGGATGTTATTTATAACTTATAACATAAGATTAAAGTTTTTTAAGGAAGATCCAGATATTTCTAATTATTTTAAAAAAATCTATATGTTAACTATTGCTTCAACCATCAAATTACTATTCCATAAATCAATTAGAACATCTTATTAGCTCTAAAGTATTATCTAAGTTGCTCAATAAAACTGAAATTTTTTAAAATTAGGCTCAAAATTTAAGAAAAAATTTTTTTAACGTACAGAGCGAAGAAAAAAAAGGAATTACTTTGAATTTCTTTTGATCGGATCTTCACGTTCCAGGATTAAATCTTGAGGGTTTAAGAGTGTGACCTCAAATATGTTAATTAATTAATGCAGATGATATATTAAGTTACGAAACTTTCCCTGAATAAACATACCTTTTTTTCGACGGATATGTTACCCCCAAACTATATAGAAGGTAGTAGCCGCAATCTAGGAAATAGGGTCCGAATAGTTTGACCAGAAGAGTGATACAAAATATTGACCCCTTAATGTTAATTTTACTTATATTACAGTTAACGAATTAATGCTGCATATCTCAAAATTGTTGTCTACAAAACTATAACTGGTTAGTCGAAAAATCTTCTTAATCATAACACAAGACTGAGTTTTTCGAACGTCCCACTATTTTTGTTCTTACATACTACTCATCTTGCACGCAACCTATTTTAAAAGGAGTTCACGACACAAAAGTTTTGTAAATTTTTAGATAATATTTGAAAATGTAATTGAAAGTAATTTTCATTAACAATGATAATTTTAATTAGTAGTAACAAATAATTATAATAATGCCCCTTATTTTAGAAGGGGGAAAATTGCGTTTGTATCTCAATTGGAGGGCAAAATAAAATGTTTGTTCCCCTATATTGTACTTCTAATGACTTTAAATACTTTTAAATTTCACTTTTTCTCATATATTTTTATTTATTTATTTTAACTTTTAAATGATACATTATATTAATATATAAAAAGGATAATTTACTGAAATTTGGAAAAGATATTACTTTTCAGAACAATTATTTCATAGTTTCATTCAACATTTTTTTATATTTATTCATATCATACAAAACTATTTTTAAAAAAAATTAAAATTGCTTAGATTTGTGTTTTATTTTATTAGAGTACATGATTATATGATTCATTCACTGCACACATTGATTAATTACATAAAATAAAAAACAGTTTAAAATTTGATGAAAAAGTTGTTACTAGCATTGTTACTTAAAATTCCTTTTACAAAATAAATATTTTTTTGTATAAAATTTCTTATCGCTTAGAGGTGCTACTCTTTATTATTTGGGGAAATAGTTCCTAAATATAAAAAGCTATGACTAAAATTGACCCTTAAATTTAAGATGTTTCGAAAAAGGGAGTTAGTCATTGTGTGAAATTTATGCTTATGCAATATGTGCTCACATATTAATGCGTATTTACGTCAACAACAAAAAAATTCCCAAATAGCTCGGATACCGTGAGTAGGTTGCATCATGACTATGAACAAAAGGGAGTATCATCAGCTTTCTAAACTAATCATGTGAAAAAAAGGGAATAACTGTATCAGATATTTGAAAGAGCGGTAGTTATATAGGGATACAAGTTGGATGAAAAAAAACCCTACTCTAAAGACGTATGAGGTTTCGCGTTATTATGTTATAGAAATTTTCTTTTGCATTCGTCTCTGGTGTTTCTGTAGACAATATTATCTGATACACACTATTAATTTGATGAAAAACAATATTTCATTATGACTCAATGACCTCGATAATTGAGAGATACGTAATAATGTTCTTTTCATAATAAAAATAAATAAATAAAAATTCCAAAAATCACTTAAAAATCAATCAGACTGAAAGATTATTTTATAATAACTATTACATAATAAAGTTGTGAAAATCGTACCACTTTCCACACATAAATGTTTTTAACGATCGCAAATCATTAACAATGATATTCGAAATAGTTTAACAGTAAAGCACAGCTAATTATATTATGATTTTGGTTATAGTACATGTGCATTAAATACTGAAAATTATTTTTTTTTCTCGAGCTTTTCAAGATGTACGTTTTATGATACAAGTTATCAATTCGTATCACTTGTTCCCTAAACTGTACTAACCTCAAAATTACTGAGGTCTTATGATTAAGCGAATAAGTGGAACATATACATTATTTTAGTTCTTTTTTATGCATATAGAGTGTTCTTAAAACAATGTTTTGTTCCTTCTTCTTTACATACTAGAGAAGGTACGATTTTGGAAAGTCAAAATTTAAGTAATTTTCCTCTAATCAATAAAAGCGCATTGAATATAATGTGGTTCATTTTAGTTATAAAAGATTATGTCATAGAAATCTGGTTTTGGAGCTAATATATGATTTAGTAAAATCGATTTTCGAACCTTATCGTAATAATATACCTGAAATTGAAAAACAGTGATAGTGAACGCTGCATTAGCAAAAAGTGATTTGCATGTCTGGTTTGGCGCGGTTTTGAGCGTAACCATCGACTGTAGGTGATTTCAATTATCAAAGCAAAAGTAGCTGCTGTCCAGCCTATAAAAAGAATAATAAACACTCCACCTAAATCTGACAACTTTAAAACTGATTCTGATGTTCGCTGAGAATGGTCAATGTCTAATTTTCTCAAGACTTCGCTTTTAAAGAGGATATTGTCCATGAATTTATTGTATAAGCCACCACTTAAAATTCGGAGAAGGATTGTATTGAAGCGTTCTTTGCAGCAAAAGTTTTTCCTGATTGCAACCCCTATCGGAAAATTTCCAAAAATGTCCTTCGAATTAAAATACTTTTCTGGGGAACCAAAAGTCGTGCTAAATAGAAAGGGTGGCCCAAGTATTGCTACGTTTTCCGGAACACTTGTGTCGATAAAAGATTGATAATACCATTTATTCTTTTTAATGTATTCACCTAATTCTTTGAAATGGGGTATATTGCTTTTTGACAAATAATCTGCTTCCAGTGTTCGAATCTCTGCCCGGCACTCCATTTTCCCATCTTTGACTGTGGCGTACAGATCCTTGAAATCTTTTAATTGCTTCATTCTGATGGGGGATGTCAAAAATGACTACAGGACTGAGCTGTAACACAGAATCAGAACATATGAATAAACGAACTAAATTCCAAGTGGTATCCGTCTGAACATTGAACGAGGGTTGTAGTTTATTCCTTGTCCGAAAGAAGATCCCCACAAATTGAAGAAAACGGAAGTAATGGAATCTTTTGGAGAAATCAATGTTCCAAACAGCACTGTTACAAAGAGCAGTACGATCAAGAATAAAATCCATGCGAATGTGCTTAAAGGATACAAGAAAGCTGATGTTTTTGGCAAAGTGAAGTATAATTCATCATAAATGTTTTTTCGAGATAGAAGTAAGGTAAGCTAAAATCCACTACAGTTGACCTTTCTTCGGTGATACCTATTAGAGAAAAGACCATGTCAGCTTCATTCCTTACGAGCATTCCGACCATTCCGGTCCAGTTTCCGAATTCATCCTTGAAACCGTTGAAACCGTAAGAATAATCTGAGGGAGCAAGAATCTCATATTCGAAATGTAATGTGTCTGACAGTATCTTTAAGAGTTCAAAACCCGAGATAATCGTTGTGTCATTGATTCTTTTAATTTCTATCCCTTTCATATTGGCTAGAATGGGTAGGACTGCGATTCTAAGTTTAGAAGGAAAATATGCCTCCATTTTTTACAAAATATTTTTAGTGTTCAAGTTAGGTCAGTTCTTCGTGACTAATTGAGTATGGAAGATGTTGAGTTGGTAAGAAAAGTTCTTCGTAAGATGAATGAATTCGTCTTGGAAACATTCTTCGGGAATGAGAGGAGATATTTTGTCATGTCGATTCTCAGTTTGAAAATTAGTTTAGACTCATTAAGTCAAGTCAGATCTTAAAAGCTAGCAGAGAATAAATAATTCGAATTGAAAAGAAAAATTGGCTATTCCTCCTATTGAGAACGAGTTTCTTTTTTTCTTATGTATAGATTGTTATTTTTAAGGAATTATTTAATGTTAAATAGTTTGGAAACTTTCTGTCTAGATAAAAATCAATTTGATTCCCAAGATTCAAATTGTTTACACACAAGTTAATCTACAATAGTTGCCTGGTTAAAAACTGAATAGTAAAAATTCCAGATATTTATGAAAATTAGTGAATTATCAGGAAATTGATGAATGCAAAACAGAATGATGAGTTTTTACTTTTACTTCAGATCTTTAATAAATGAAATGGATTCAATATAAAATCATCAAATACAAGCTTATATAAGCATTTTATTCATCATTTTGTTCTAAAAATGAACGAAATGCCTGAGAAATGCGTGTTTTAAATAGTTTAATGAACACTTGAATAATTAAATGCGTATTTGAAATAGTTTAATTATATATGCCAAAAAATAGAAATATTGTGGTATTTTTTTTGTTTTTGTTTTTCCCAACTTTTATATCGATACTATTGGAGCTATAATGATTGAAAAAAAAGTGGTTAAAATGTCAGATCTTTAATGAATATAAAATTCCACATATAATAATAAAATGCAGGCTTTTACAGGTATTTTATTCATAGTTAAAAAAACAAGTGAAGAAAATAAAATGAGAAGCAAGATACATTTTTTGCGTGTCATGTTCCATAAGTATTTTGTTATTCGTGAATGTATTTTGATGATTGTACAAATAAAGTTTTAGTTTCTATAGATTAAACCTTAGTACATAGGTATGATGTTTATTCTTGAGTTATTTACTCTTAATAGTTTATATATCCATATAAAGCATACTTGAAATAATTAAAATGCATATGACATTAAATAAAATAATTGTGATAGTTTGATTTGCGTTTTTAACCTCCCTTCAATCGATATTATTGAGTATATATTGATTGGAAAACGAAGTGCGTGATTATTAATCGTGCAATAAGGGGTGAAGAACGATTATTCTTTAGGAATTAAAGTTTGAAAATCCTCAAAAACAAGTTGTTATTGATTTTGAACTCATTTGAAACTACTTAACGAACTATTTTTTCCCCATAAAACTAGTTATATGCTCATTATAAGATAAAAGTATTCCATACTTTGCAATTTGTTTGCTTTTGCGTAGATACTTCAACTTTTACCGCATCGAAGATTTTATTTAAAGCTACTTTCTTTTATTCTTTTAAAGCATTCAAATATATCCTAAAACGCTTGAGTTAAGTTATATGCTTTTTATAGTTAAAAGTAAAATGTCTCCTTTAATAAAGAGTGCTTTCAAATTATTGCCATTTCAATAGTTTTGATAAATTATATTTTCACAACAATAATAGCAGATAAATTCGTTTTACTTATTGCTATTTTATTTATTTATTATTGTACTTGTATAATATGACATCTGCGTAAATTGTGAGTATGTTCAGTTTCTGGAATAAGATTTCGTTGTTAAATGTAACAAGTAATATAGTAACGAATAATAATAAATACAGAAAAACAGTTATAACGCTGGCGATAATAAATTATTACTTACGTACTTTATTTTTTGATAACCGCATTCGGTGCTCAGTATGTTACCTTTCAAATATAGGATAAAGAAGGGTGGCTGAACCCGTTTTTTACAAAATATTTGTTTTTCTTGTTAACATCTCAAAATTTCTAAGATTATATTATTTTGCATCTCATGTTTGTCTACGGTTAAAATAGTTTGTACTTCAATTATAAGATACTCACTTTCATTAATGATTTTTTGTGAGCATTTTAAAATGTTTTTTTTTTTTTAAATTAAAAGTTAATTCATGNTAAAATAAGAACTTTTTACTTTTTACTCGTTACTTTTTTTAAAAATACTTGTACTTTTACTCGTTACTTTTTAAAAGTAACGTTGCCATATATGATTATAAGCTACTCACTTTCATTAATGATTTTTTGCGAGCACTTTAAAATGTTTCTTTTTTTAAAAAAAATTAAAAGTTAATTCATGAAAACTTGCTTATGTGAATTTTTTTCATACGAACTTAATTTTTTACGAATTCTAAAAAAAAAGCATTTTAAATATGATTATGGAACACAGAATGAATGAATAAGAAGAACGAGAATTAATCCAATGTCTTACCGTTCCGATCCGGCATTGTGAGCTCTTATTACTTTGGAACAGAGGTTTCACAGATTTCATGATTGCATGTATTAAATTTCTTTGTATTTTAGAAAGGTAATCGTGTATACATTGAGTGTGACCGATAATAGGTTTCGGGGGCAATTTGTTTTCTCTGAGGTCTGAAATGTGAATTTAATTTATCGCCAATAAAGCTGAGATAACAAAAAAATATGTTATCTTTATGAAACTGGCTGACGGATGCAAGTCACATTTGACTGTGATAACATGCTATACAATGAATACTTAAAAATGATTTTATTTATTTCCTGTTGACTAAAATTATTATTGCTCAAAAATATTTTTGTCTGGTGGAGCATTTTTAAAACCACCCCATAAACAAGTAGTTACTCATTAATAGAACAAATTAAATTTGTCAAATTTATTGCGAATATTATTTAACAAAAGAAATAAAGTATGTAAAACAAATATTTATAAAGATAAACATTTAAAAATTACGAACTCTTTAAAATTTAATGAACTCTATACAATTTATCCCGATTAATTTTCGTGCTTTATCATTTAAAATGACATTTAAATTAAATTCAAGCAAAAATTTAGATTTGAGTCACATCCCGAATTTAGATCTTTAACTGTGAAACAAAACTTCAAAACTTGTGTTTCAAAACTTTGAAAACTTATTTAACTTATTGACTAATAAACAGTGCTTTACAGAAGAATATGCATCATCATTACTATTAAATAATCATCTTAATTTATTTAAAAAATACATATATACACTTTTGTTGTATTTTCTAAATAATCATCTTAACTTATTTAAAAAATACATATATACACTTTTGTTGTATTTTACTGCAATATAAGATTAATTATGAGTATTACCAAGAAAGCATAAAAACGAGATAAAAAAAATAATAATCTTAAACATGTTATTTGTCAGTTCATCATTTTATGCCATTAATCATTACAACTATATTTTTAATGTGTTATTCGTAAAAGTGGGACGAAGAAAAAAAAATTTTTTTTTTTGAATTTCGGAACACTTTATAGCTGAAAAGTTGTAGATTATAGTAAAAAATTAGCAAAAAATTGCAAAAAATAGCAAAAAATTGAAACCGGTTAATATCTTTCACTAGCGCATTGTACACGGAAATTAACTAAAACCACGCCCTTTTAAATTTTTTTAAGCTGTCTAAAATTTTTTAGATAAACACGACTTAGTTTCTTATGCTAGTATCATAGTTTGAACAACCGAAATTAAATACGTTATGACCAGTTTAATTTTTTAACATTCGTGCAGCGTTTTGGAAAAAAAACACAAGTTTACCAATTTCTAGTAATTTTCACTGTATATCTTTTTGCTCATTATGTTAGATAAGAACAGTCCAGTAACTCACAATTTAAAAATAATTGCACATCCAGTTCGATGCAAATTTTTCGTGGAGTATTTGCACCCGTATTTGCAGTTTATTTATAAAGAGCTTCAATGTAATAGGATTCTTTGATTTATCGTATTTTTAAGATTCCTTTTTTATAACTACTACACATATAAAGTCTGTTTTTTTTGTGGAGAAATGTGGCAAATACTTTGATGAACCTCGGATAAATATTTGACTCTAGATAGGTCAAATATTTTACACGAAGTCTCTGTCGCAGGTTTGACACACCGTTGATTTTTTTAACACTCTGTAGGGGTAGTTTCATAATTAAAGAGTGATTAATATAATCTTCTCTTTAGTCGTGCAGCGGTGAGTGAGGGTATATCACATAAATATTCCAAATAATAAATTTTAAGGTAGTTAGAAGCTTGAAAGTTTCATCTTAGGTTGTACCAATTTTCTCATTGTCTTTTTCTTTGGGGTGGTTCGCCTTGCCTTTAAGATCTTTCTTATATGTAAATCAAGAACTCGACGGTTTGATGTTTGGAATGGGACAAAGGAACAGTATCGCGATTGGCCAATGCCTCAAAATGATTCCATTTAAAACGTGCAGCAGATATTACAGGTTGACAATTTGTTGAGCAAAGACCGAATTTCGTATCCCATACCGATGATTAACTTTCAAGTTTTGGATTACATTGGAATCATATTAATTGGAAACTTATGAGTTACCTTAAACAATGTTACGAGACTTGAGTGAATATAATAATAAATCTCTCATCGATTCAGGTATCATTCGTATTAGAGAAATAACAAAGTTACATTCCCCCCTTTTAAGTTGTGGGAACGGATTGTTAAGCTTGTTACAGAATCTTCGAATAAAATACGGAAACATGAAGCTAGAGATGGTTACATCCGAAATACAGATTTCTTCCGAAGCCAGTTAAACCTCATTTCTCCGAAAAAATCATACTTTAAAAGTGTAGTAGATATGTTACCGTGACAGACCAAAATCAAGAGAATGTCGACTTTCACCGGTGAATGTTAACAACCGCGTAGTCACTTTGGTGAATGTCCGAAATATTTGTTACATCCGATTTGATATCAATTGTTTCATTGATATTGTTATATTTATTCGATATTTTAATATCTGCTGAGAATGGATTAAGAGAAACATCAGTGTTCGGAGTACCACGTAAATGCGTACTGGGCAGTGGAACTTGAACTTTAAAAAGCATTGATGTAGGGCATACCGGGCAGTGAAACTGAACCTCAAGAAATATTGATGTAAGGCATACCGTGCAAATATATACCGGGCAGTGGCACTTAACTAGACCTAGTATATATTTTGAACATTTACCAAAGCGACTATGTGATTGTCAACATTCACCGGTGGAAGTCAACAACCACCCATTTCTGTTCTTTACAGTAGCAGATATAAAAAACGAGAATAGATACAATGCATTAAGCCAAAGAATTCTACTATCTTTAGAACTAGTGATGGGCATCATTCACGGAAATTTTATCAGAAATAAAATTTCAATCTAAATTTATCAGAAATGAATTTAGTCAGAATAAGTTTATTCTGAATGATTATTCATATGTAAATTTATTCACTGTTCATCATTCATTAAAGCAAATTTATGCAAATTTTTGAATAATGATTGATGAATAATTCATTAGTCATGGCTAATTTTTCTGAATAAAATCTTGAATAACCAGCGAAAATGCAAGCATTCAGTTTGTATGCATCTATATGTATGTGTTAATATATTTTTATGTACGTAGAATGAGCGTATGTACATAAATATAATTTATTAATATTCGAGCAATACATGTAAGTTCGTATGTATGTAGACGTATATATATATATATATCTAGCATGCGTACAATTGCTCATACATAGATATATTTTAAACTCATGAAATATTTGTATGTATGCACGTTTGTGTATGAACTGACGCATGCATATAAGATGCGTGTATGAATGCCCACACGTAAATACAATGTAATTAAGTATGCACAAACATCATTTCTGTGTACATTACATGTACGTAATTTTGCATATAATATGCATGTAAACATATATGTTGCTTTGTATGTACGTATGTAAAGACAATATATGTATGTACGTATGCATGTATATACAAGCAAGTACATTCATAATATGAATGTAGGTATATACGTGAATTGTACGCAAGAACATTGTTTATAGATACAATCTATGTACATATTCATGCATATAAAATTCGTGTAGAGATATATATGGCTTGTACGTGTATTGTATGTTCATATGTATGCACGCAAATATCTATGTACATCATCAAAAAATGTGTATGTAACGTATGAGTGTGCATATGCATGTACAAAAATGTTTGTATGTATAGACATATATGGCTTGTACGTGTTTATATGTATGTACGCCCATATCTATATGTGACGTCAAAANCTGCCTATGATCGATGCCCAACTCTTTTATGTACGTCTGTACATATATATGGAGGTGCGTTGTGTAAGCTAACTAACGTATATGCATTACTATTATATGGTGCATACGTAAGTACATTGTGTGAACATGCGTATTGTATTTATAATTTTGTACGTGTTTTGCATGTATATGGTACCGGCAAAGTATGAAACGCCGGCATTGTATTGAATGCCGAATGTTTTAGGCAAAGTATGAAATGTCAGAATCATTTCATACTTTCCCCAGGCATTGTACATAATGCCTAGGCATTCTATAGAATGACAAATGCTATTTAGGCAAAGTATGAAATAAACGTGGTGATGAGGTTATTATGTAAATGATGTGCATGTTACTGTGAATGACCGAAATCGGTGGTTGTTGACTTTCGCCGGAGAATGTTGACAATCACATAGTCGCTTTGGTGAATGTCCGAAATATTTATTACATCCAATTTGATATTAATTTCTTCGTGGATATAATTACATTTATTCGATATTTTAATACTTACTGACGATAGATTAGAAGAAACATCAGTGTTTGGAGTATCGGGCAAATATATACTGGGCAATGACACTTGACCTTAAAAAATATCTATGTAGGGTATACCGGACAAATGTATACCGGGCAGTGGCACTGAACCTTAAGAAAGCTTCAGTGTAGGATATACCGGGCAATGGCACTTGACCTTAAAAAGATATCAGTGTAGGGTATATCGGGCAGTGGCACTGAGAAGTAAAAAATATCAGTGTAGGGTATACCGGGCAAATATACACCGGGCATTGGTGCTTGACCTTAAAAAAACATCAGTGTAGGGTATACCGGGCAAATGTATACCGGGCAGTGGCTCTGAGCCTTTAAAAAACATCAGTGTAGGGTTTATCGGGCAAATGTATACCGGGCAGTGGCTCTGAACTAGACCCAGTATGACTAGACCTTTGGTAAATGATCCGAAATATATACTAGGTCTAGTTAAGTGCCACTGCCTGGTATACATTTGATTACATTGATTGCTTAAAATAAAAGATTTCGGATATTTCGAATCATATACCAGTTATCGTGATTACAGGTAATCATAATAATTTTTTTTATCGGATATCGTTACTTGTAACCTATAAAAATGATTACAAGTAGTTTATTACTAGGTACTTTTTATTTGAAGTTGTTACATTTGTAATCAATTATAGTTTTACGTGATCATTTCTGTTCAGCAGGGAAACTATTCACTTATTCTTGACTAATGAATAAAGAATAATGATTGAAAATAATGAATGATTTATTCTTTATTCAAAATGCTTCTGACTAATGAATAAATCTTTATTCATTAGTCAGGAAGATTTTGAAAAATTATTAATTATTCTTTATTCATTATTCTGAATAACGAATGCCCATCTCTGTTTAGAACTAGCTATAAACATAGTGGAAAAATCAGTTAAAAAAATGAAAGGTTGGTTAGATTGAGTGTAGGTGCGTGGAACTTAACTTGCAACCATCTTCAAATGGTGAATTAACGGAATGATCGGATCTAACAATAATGCTACAACGGAACTAATGAGCGAAGAACCACATTGTGAAAATTGGGAAAAATAAGATAAAAACTTTTTTTTTCTAAAAAGTTGCGCGAATGTAAAAATTAAATTACTAGTCAGAATTTCATTTATTTAGGATATTCAAACCATCTAACAAGCACAAAATTTCAAACATGTTTACCTCTAAAGTTAAAAAATAATAGGCAATTTCACCGTATGAAAGCCACCGTATAATTCACCGTTCACCGAAATTCAAAAATTTATGTTTTTTTTCCACCCTCTATATTAATTATGCGTGATAAAATTAATGGGAACTACCTGTATACTTTTTTATTTTTCTCGAATCTAGGATTAAGTAAAAATATTGTCAAGAAGTTCAAAAATCAGATAAAAAATAGTAATCTTAAACATATTACATGCTATTTAATCATTTTATCAATAAATAACTATATTTTTAATGTCTTATTCATGCATGACAACATACATGCGTAATTGGCATTAGCAATCGCTGATTTTGAGGCTCACATTTAAAATCTTCCTCATATTATTTGTATAAAAGAAAACATCATTCTTGCTCTGTAAGATTAATATAAATTTGTGAAGATTTCCACAAGATTCCAAGTTGGATGCGATTGGATTTCATCCCATTTCTTTTATTTGATTGTACATTTCAGTCAAAAGCATTTTTATCTATTTGATATATGCTGATAAGTTTCAATCGAATGATAACTCAGATAATAAATAAAATTTTTTGTTTTTAGATCGACGTATAGAAAAAAAATTAAAAAGTATGGAGTATCTAGAAGTATCATCCAAAAGATGTTAAATATCAAATGAACAAATTCGAAAAAAAAAAATGTTTTAGAATAACAAACTGTCTCGTGCAAACATGAATAAATATTTCCCAATAATTGCTCACGTTTAATATAAGCCGATTTTTTTATTCAAAACCATTTTAAACATAATGTGTCAATTAATTTCTCCAGAAAAGTTCGGTTCCTTAAAGTAGTCACTACAAATAATTTCAAATACTATTTCGAAAGTAGTTTGTATCGATCACATTTATAAAAAAGTAGCTGTAATTAACTGCTGCATTTGTAACAAAGTAATTATATCTGTAGTAAGCTGCAAAAATAATGTAGTTTTTTCAACCACTCAATAAAACTATGGTAATCTCCCCCCCCCCCCCNCCCCCCCCCCCCTTGACTCATTAACCCTGAAAATTCTGCTGCACACACTTATTTTCAAATCTCTTCGTGATCTGAGATCACTCTTGTTTTAGTCTCGTTCAATACTCCAGTTTTTATACTTTATTAACATTAATAGTTTATTTTAGTTACATCAGACTATCCTTTGTTCGTAGATAGTTCGCTGATTCTTTTCACATATGAAGCCCACTATGAAACTGTTAACTGACACACTAATCTAGATATTGCTATATGTTGATATTGTTATACCATAACAATCAACATTTCTAAAATAAATTAGAAACTTAAAATTCAACTCTTATTTAAATTATATTATGCCCCATGCTCACGCAATCTCAACCCACTTCGCTGCCTAAATTTTGTGTCCTAAAACTAAAATTACAAATGATAAAAATTTAAATTATTATTTTATACATATGTTTAGAGGCCAAAAATGGAATTTCATACCGAATTTTGATTTTTTTCCCATTAATTTATTTTTTAAATTTTTCTTAGGCATTAAATAAGTTTCAATTAATAAATGCAATCTAGATATTTCAATTAATACAAATGAAAAAAAAATATTTAAAATTGATAGTTAAATATTTAAAAAAAATATTTTATTGTAAGTTATTTTAATATGTATGTATGTACAGATGTGCAATTTATGTATACCCAGTGTATATATAATTGTACACACATAATGTGTGCATACGTGAATTGTAATTGTGATAAATATTGAAAATATTAATCACAATTACAAGTAATTGATTACATATCTACAACTGCCTATGATCGATGCCCAACTCTTTTATGTACGTCTGTACATATATATGGAGGTGCGTTGTGTAAGCTAACTAACGTATATGCATTACTATTATATGGTGCATACGTAAGTACATTGTGTGAACATGCGTATTGTATTTATAATTTTGTACGTGTTTTGCATGTATATGGTACCGGCAAAGTATGAAACGCCGGCATTGTATTGAATGCCGAATGTTTTAGGCAAAGTATGAAATGTCAGAATCATTTCATACTTTCCCCAGGCATTGTACATAATGCCTAGGCATTCTATAGAATGACAAATGCTATTTAGGCAAAGTATGAAATAAACGTGGTGATGAGGTTATTATGTAAATGATGTGCATGTTACTGTGAATGACCGAAATCGGTGGTTGTTGACTTTCGCCGGAGAATGTTGACAATCACATAGTCGCTTTGGTGAATGTCCGAAATATTTATTACATCCAATTTGATATTAATTTCTTCGTGGATATAATTACATTTATTCGATATTTTAATACTTACTGACGATAGATTAGAAGAAACATCAGTGTTTGGAGTATCGGGCAAAT